ATATAATATAAAATTTCTAGAGTGAAAATGGAATCAAACCCCTACTTAAAGTTATTAAGTTATTGATCTACTCTTGTGAACTGTTATAGGAATTAACTTAAAAATGAAATAAATGTGATCAAGGTTTATCTAAGAGCATTTAGTTTATGATCAAGCTTACTCTAAACATTACACAGTGCTTACAAGTACGAGATTGGTGTAACTGGCTTTCTGAATGCTTAGCAATCATACCTGAAGTTCGCTCTCCTTCCTTAGGTCTTCGAAACCAGTATGTTATTGGTTTAAAAGACTGCTTTTTTACTATCTTTTACACCCTGATGATAAAGAAACATTTGCTTTTTCTGTGCTTACTGTCAATAATCAGCACCTATGATTCCTTTTCAGTGAAATGTTCTCTCTCAGGGTGTGACCAATAACAGCCTCACCTTCGGTCAATGGTGAGTCAATAGGCAATACACTCTATTGACAAAAACTTCTAACTAATTCTTACATTTCATTATGTGGTTGATATAATTCGCTTTTTCTACTAAAGATATACTTTCAACTGCTTCAAAAGTTTTCTAAGCTTCATTACAAAACATGCATTTGCAGTTTGTCCCAGACAAAATTCAGCTAAAAGTTCCACACAACTATCTTGGCTATCTTATCACTAACCTTTTCATCAAGGCTCACAGATTACAATTATCAGTTCCAAAACAGGTGTAGTAAATTCTCCCCAACAGCTTCTAGGTAGCCTTTGTGCCCTTGCCCTGTTAGCACATTAACTGAATCCCTTGTCCATACCGCAGAGAGCTAGGAGGACACTTTACACATGCTCCACACAGACAACCATGGTCACGTGAGAAAGGGGTCCCTCTGGTACTGACTCTGCCAGGTACCTGGGTAACATTCAGGGGATTGCCCAGTGTTATGCTCTCCATCTGATGTTGTACTGCGAACGTACTTTGTTTCTCAAGAGGATCCAAATAATTCAAGCACATACAGTGCTTAAAATATACGTAGCATGCAGAGAAATCTTAGTGCGCTCCGTGAATAGCAGGTTTCATAACTCAGCATGTTCATGACTTAATTTGTGATAAAATGTGTATCAAAGGAAAATATCAGATATTTCTCTGTGACTAGATAAAGACAATCACGTAGCACTTTCTAGGCCAAACATTTCATACATGCTGTATATTTCATAAGCAGGCATACATGCATTGCCTGCATATATTGAATATAGTATATGCATTACCTATGCGGATAAATGTATCTACACATGCACACACGCACGCACACACACACACACACCTTACACAGTTGGCTCTCAATATGTGTACATTGTAGATTCAACCAACAGTAGGTTGAAATCCTCCTAATGGAAGGATGTGGATTGAATATTTTCAGGCTACTCATTATTCCCTAAATGACACAGTATCACAAGTACTAACCTGACATTTCCACGTGATCAGGTATTGTCAGTATTTAAGAGTAAATCAAAGATTATGGGAAAATACTGAGGCATTTTAAATAAGAGATGAGAGTCTCTACAAAGTTTCTGTATCCATAGGTGTCCTGACATCCATTCAACATAGATACCAAGGATGACTGCACACACTGTACATGACGTACACACATTTGCTAACATGTTGAAATAACTACGTCTGTATCTTCCTCATCTCTTTCTCTCATTGGGCTCTCTACAGGTCCTACAAAGCTGTTTACTCTAACTGTAGCTTCCTGTCCTTATGACAACTTCGCATTTCATTTAACCATGAAAAGCCATGAGAGTACCCGGTGCATAGTAGGTCCACACAAATGATTAATAACTAACGTGCTTCGCTAACAGCATCAACTGAAAACTGCCCATCTGCCGGGACTGCATCTTAGCGCTTTATTACATGGTTACCTTCATGGCCTTGCTTCCTTCTAAACAGGCCGTGCATAACGTAAATCCACTCGTCATTCTGTCAAACTCTCAAACCCAGTGCATTAATATCACTGGTCCTCACTGGTCGTACTGATACATCAGCATGAATCTTATCTTCAATGATCCAGATTCAGTCTTGGTAAATAATTAAAATGGAAAGAAATGAGCCTCAACATCTGTGTGGGAGATTTGCACCGTGACTGGAAGAATCCGAAGAGAAACTCTTAATGATCCCAGCCTTCATCCACGACAAGCGTGGGTGAGCTGCAGTGGCTGTGTTCACCACCCACCACCAGCGCCTGACAGAGCTGAAGGCTCCCTTATCCCTTGAGCTTCAGTGGGTCAATCTACGAATTGCTGAAATTGTTAAGGAAACACTAGAAGCTGTTTCACATCAGCACAGCATAGCTTGAGAAACACATACATATACACACATACATACACAAATATATATCAAAATTTAACGGTTACCACATTGTCTAAGGGGTAACGTTTTGTGCAAACTCTGGCTAATTTCTTCAGCTGAAGTTAAGTGTAGGAATCACCCTCCCCGAGGCAAAAATTAAAGTAGGTTTTCCTCACAGTTGTCTCTGCTTACTATGAAAACAGTTTAATGTTAACCATCTCTACCCCTCAGAGTGAAATGAACACTTAAATCCACCATCCCCTATGGAACCTTCATCTCCCACAGGCAATGGGATATGAAATGATGGGAAAACCCAATAAATAGCATCAGTTCTCAGTGTCACCTGTTTGACTTGACCGTGGAATAAAAACCCAAATTATGCAAATGAAAAGGGCATGAACGCAATGAACGGCTCCTTATCCCCCACATCCTTCCCACCTCTCCACCCAAGGACTTTAAAACTAATATGACTAAAATATACAAAAAGGGAAGAGCAAATTTACTCTATAATTGAAGGCCAAGCACATCTCTTTTAGTAATATCATTGTTGAAAAAATAATATTATATATAAGTATTACATAGTTTAAGATTTTCAATATTGGAAGGGAAGGTTGGTTCTAATTTAAGAATTTTAATATGCTTGCACTGAAATTCTTGCTGTAGAAATCATGTATGTGTACATGCATGTGTGTCTATGCATGTGTGTACATGTGTTGCATGTACATGCATATATCTGTATGTTTGCATGAATGTATTCATGTGTAACTTTTGTTAAGCTTAGCTTCTAATCATGGAATTGTCTATTTTTAATTTCTCTTATTTTACATGCATGAGTGTTTTGCCCTCATGCACATTAAGCACACCCATGTCATGCAATGCCAGGTCTGAAGCTAGAGTTACAAATGGATGGTTGTTAGTCACCAGGTGGGTGCTGGGAATCAAACCCAGGTCCTCTGCAAGAGCAGCCATTGCTCTAACCATTGAACAAGTTCTCTCTAACCATTAAGCCAGTTCTCTAAACCTGACTTGTCTATTTTCTAAGATGAGATTTAGCATTGGATTCAAACTTCCCACATTTGACTGGGTGGAGTATGGGGGAGCACAGATACGGGAAGGGTCTAAATATAATAAAGATGTATGGTAGGAAATTTGTAAAAAATTTTTTTAAGTAGTAGAAGAAAATAAAAGAAAAAGTGAAATCATCGTGCACTGTAAACAGCTTTCTAGAAAAATGGCTTTCCTTGCTGCTCAGCAAAACCTACGCAGAGTTGGTGGTACACACAGATAAAGCATCACCTCCACTTTCAAAGAACTCAAAGCCCACATGACAGATGCAGAGGAGAATGAGGCCTGGGTTGTGTTTTACCATCTTATGGGCAATGTGCTGCTGAGCCCAGCATCTCAGGAGCCTCCAGCTCCATCTCTCCACATGGACGTGGTATCCAGAACAGTATTTGGTGGTATGTTACACTGTGCAGTTAGCGATGGAATCCACACGAGTCACTGGGCTACTTTTCATGACTACTAAGCTCATTTTGAGCACTGGAGTTGTCTCCAAAGAGGAAGCTGTGTTGTTAGGCCGGAAGGGACCACAGCCTCACACCATGGGGTGCTGTCAGCCAGCTCTCCACCCCGCTGCCCCCAGTGTACATAGGTCTCAGTGAAGTCCCCACAGATTGGCGAGTGGACTTGAACACTTACGTCTGCAAGTGGGTGGCTTCCCTCGGTTACTCCACAGCCCATCCTCCTGGCACACGGCTGTGGCCTGCTGACTGGTCTCCAGCTTGAAGCCCTCCCTGCATCCATATGTCACCTTACTGTCCAAGGTGAACTCATTACCCGTGAATGAGCCGTTTCCTGGGGCCTCTGGAATTCCACAGGACACAGCTGAAGAGGAAGGAGAGGGAGACCATGCTTAGTCTTATAGGACGCTGTAAAGTTTGCCTTGGATTTTTATACAAGCTACTTCTTCTGCTCTGTGGGCGTGGCATAGACACAGGCATTTTCAGAATATTAAGAAGTGAAATGTTCCTGAGAAACACAGGAAAGCTCCTCTTAAAGGCAGAAATGCCTCTGCATAAAACACTGCATGGAGCAGGCTCTACGTCCCAGGCGATGTTGCTCATGCAGGGTCGTCACAGGCTGACACATTTTGTCAGGTGATGCGGTCAGGCAGCGGTCACACCTGCCATCTCCTGTGACATTACACAGGAAGAGGAAGGGTAAGACACTTCCTCACATCACAGCGGTCATCACAACGGTGGTTTCAGCCTCAGGACCCACAAGCACCAGTCTTGGAGTCCATAGTTGCTCTCCTCTGCTTCATTCCCCTTTGATTTCCACATGTTCTGACCCACTTCCCTCAAGGAACAGGAAGTTCCATTCAAAGATGCTGTGCATTCAGTGTCATGTGTCCACTATGGGCTCCTGTGCTGGGCATGTGGTTCCCAGGTTTTCTGCCACTAAGTGTTGGGAGTTTAGCGGGTGGGCTGTCACTCTGAAAGGGAGGTGTTCTCCTTGGATTTCGGTTAGTTCTCTTGAGAGGTGACAGGGTCTTAGAGGAGCAAGTCGGGCCCCTCCAAATTCCCTGGCTTCCTTTGGCAGCGTGGGATCACCTGCTCACAAGCAAGCTCCCACCATGATGCTCCTGCTGTGTGAGAACACAGCCAGAGAACCCTGAGCTGGCACCCTAGAGTCAGGACTTCCAGAGTCCAAAACTATGAGCCAAATGGACTCTTTAAATTACTCAGTGTTGGGTATTTTGATATATGAACAAAAAGAGGCTAAAAAAACCAGATGGCTTACCTAAGACCATCAGTGCACCCGCCACCATCATAGCTAGTAAGACTCATCCTTTAGGACCAGGAAGGAAGGGACTGAGAAGGGGGAGGCAGCCAAGAAATGACCTAAGGCAAACCACTGTCCTACCTGACATGCAGGTGTGAATTTACATTGACCATTATTATTATTATTACTTTATTTTTGTCTTTTTGAGACAGGGTCTCCCTGTAGTCCCAGCTGATCTGAACTCACTATGTAGACCAGGCTGGACTTGAACTCACAAAGATCTGCCTGCCTCTGTCTCCCAAGTGCTGGGACTGACCATTATTTTTTTAGCTAAAACAATTATGGATCAGGAAGATAAAATTACCAGCCTGTAGTTTGACACATGTCTACATGGCCTGCAGTCAGAGGGAAAGTCAGTGACTCCCAGGGAAGATCAGCTGTGTGCTTCGGGGTCCAGCTGGCTTCTGTTTTCTTTTGGATTTGGGCTTTTTATTTTTATTTTTATTCACTTTTATTTTTTATTGATTTTTTATGAATGTCATACAATATATTTTGATCGTATTTAGACTCCTCTCTTACTTTTGAATTTTGATTTGATATTTTGATTCAGTTTTTTTCTTTTCTTTTTGTTTTTATTATTGAATTTTTGTGAATTTCATACATTTTGATCATATTTAAAACCCCTCCCATCTGAACCCCCTTAATACCCCCTTCCTGATTTCATGTACTCTATAATCTATATTATTTATTAAAACATTATATGTATTATTTTTATTTTATGTGTATGAGCGTTTTGCCTGCATGTATGTAAAGGCATCATGGCATGCATGGCCTGCAGAGGCCAGAAGAGGGCATTGTATGCCTTGGAACTGGAGTAATGGTTGTTAGCTGCCACGTGGATGCTAGGAATTGAACCTGGGTCCTCTCGAAGAACAGCAAGTGGTCTTAAGAGCTGAGCCACGTCTCCAGGCCTCTGTAATATACATTTATAATAGTTAGAAGTGGAAGGTGAAACTAGGACTCAATATTTCCACTTAAAAGAGGACATGCCTTGACTCAGGAATAAGCAACTTCAGGTTCACTGGGCATTAGTGGAGATATTAAAGAAAACAGGTAAATAAATGTGTCTAGTCTTTATTTGGAGAAAGTCTAGAAACACTCCTTAATCACTTGAGTAGCTGACATACTCAGATAATTTTAATGAGAATTTTTTTAACGACTTCTTCTACCTTAGGAGCAGATGGGCATGAGGTTCTGGTCTCCTGGCTTTGGAGCCAAGTCCTCTCCTGGACTATGTACTCAAACATGAGGAGAAAGCAAACAGGACTAGAGAAAGGAAGGGACAGGCTAGCCAAGGGTTCGAGATGCCTGTGCAGCCTGAATCATGTATGTGCTTCGTGCTTCCCCTGAACATGAGCACTGGTGTTGAAACTTCATGACACATGCTCGTGTGTAGGGGTAGTTAAAGCACTGTGTGATTAGTGTCCACTTAATAGACATTAGCATGCTTTAGGGAACCAGGATGTGATGGGTGGAAGAACATGAAATAAGCATGTTAAACATGGAGAAGTTTGGGCTTTTTATTTGTGTATGACTTGGAAAGATTACCAAATTACATCAGCCTTTCTGTCCTCCCCTGTGAAAGGAGAGCCTCATGAATGCTCAGCAGGGTGACCTCGGTGGGTTGTATGACACAACCTGCCAAGTCTCCTGCTCCCATTCTGCCCTAAGTAGATGGTCACTTACCATTTCATCAGGAGAAACAGTCATTCTCCCTGGCAATCAACTTAAAGGCCTTTAGACTGGTAAGTCAATGCCAGACTTTTTAACATACACACAGGGAGATGTGATAGTCATCTCTCAGATCCCTCCTGCCATTATCAACAGAAATTAGGATGAACTGCACCAAAATTCAGAGGTGTGAAGCCTAACCCTGAATATTCTCAGAGCCAGCAGTGCTCTAGCCCCACAAGCTCTGTGACCTTCCACAGACAAGGACTGAACACCCAATGGCACTGGCCACAGACTCAGAAAATCCTATGCAGAAAGGGGGTGAGGGACCAGGCACTCAGAGCCTTCAACGTCACCGTACCCCGACCCTCACCTTTATCAGCAGAATGCCTTGCATCCACTGGTCAGATATAAAGCCCCTGAGAGTGCGAAAAGTTATTTCATGTACATGTCCTCGTTCAGTCCTCAGGATATCCTGAGCTAGACTCTTACTATTAGTATGACTTCTGGAGAACCTGGGTGCTAGAGATGTTAAAACACCTTTCTGAATCTGATGGTGCATGCAAAGCTGTGCGGGGCTCAGATCTCAAGGGGCAGAGTCCTCTTGGTCACTGAACGCAGGAAACTGCTCACCAGCTCTCACTATGCTCAGATTTATTTTTGTAAATAGTAAGGAGCCAGGAACAATCAATCAATCAATTGACCAATAGGTTAAAAAGCAGGTTCACAGAATAGAACCTGAGGAGGACAGATCGACATGAGGACATATCGACCTGAGGACACATCCACCTGAGGACACGTCCACCTGAGGGCACATCCACCTGAGGGCACATCCACCTGAGGACATGTCCACCCGAGGGCACATCCACCTGAGGACACATGCACCTGAGGACAGATCGACCTGGACACAGCTGGCATAGTCTCACACTCCTTCTGCTCTGTTTACAGGGCATTCTGAGGCCACACATCTACCTTGTCATGGGCTAGCCTTGGAAACCTCCTCCTATTTGGGGGGGGATGAATGAATGTGGTTTAAAAAAAAAGTTTTCTGAAAGTGAGGACGGACAGAGGGAGCTAGGAACTGGGTTTGCAGACACTAAAGTAGACAGATGGCCAGCTTTGCTTCCATAAGCAGCTTGGAAATGATGACCCCTGTGGAGGTCAGAGCACAGCTGATGGTCACGGAACAGCTCCAAACCTCTTGAAAACATTAACACAGTGTAGCCAAGGAAGGAGAGAAAAGTGCTTAATTTGAAACTGACAAAAACCACCATAAAGAGTGTATGTCCCCATAGGGCCACCATACGAATGACAAATTACAACAGACACGGGCCTTGTCCGTGAGGCTCCAGGGCACTTTCTCAGAAAACCCAGGTCTGCAGCACAGCTTGTGGGAAGGAACCGGCTTCACACACCTGCCTGCACAAAGCTGGGTGAAGGCACAGTTAGGAACACCACAAAGCTGTGGTTGTTTCTCGTGAATGCAAAGCAAAGTTTCATTCAATGAAATGTGAAGGCCTAAAGCAGAACAGTCAGAAAAAACTGCACAGGAAGACAGTGGAGCTCAAGCTCTGACCCTGACACTTCAGGGACTGTCCCACAGGTCCAGTGGCTCCCCTGCCCCCAAGCAGTCACGACTCACGCCAGGCCACATGTCCAGGAAAGTTTGGTAGTTCCCATTAGGTGGAGTAAGGACTGTGGTCTGTGATGCGGGTCACCCAGGGGAACCTTCTAGTTCTGCTAACGGACCAGGGCTTAAGCTTTTCATCTTATCTTCACTAAAACTGAAAAAGCTAAAAGTATGTTAGAAACTAAAAAATACCAAATGTTGAAGATGACAGGGGACAGACACCCCGGTGGTAATAAGAAACAAAATCACTGTTGGAAACAGAATGCTGGGTACTCAAAACTGAAAAATAGGGCCCAGCAAGCTGGCTCAATGGGTCAAAGGTCCTTGAAGCTAAGACTGACAACCTGAGCTTGATCCCCAGGCCCTACACTATGGAAGGAGAGCACCAACTCCCACAAGCTGTGCTCTGACCACCATTGTGTGCTCTGGCATGCACACATACCTACATACATATATACACTAAGCAAGAATATAAAACAAAAAAAAATTCTATAGTGGAAGTTCCATGTGACCCAGCAATTCCACTTCTGAATTTACATCCCCAAACAGAGTCTGAGAAACATAGCTGTCCACTGCAGCTCCTGGCTGCACACAGTAGCTAAAGTGTGTAAGCAATCCAGGTGTCCAGGAGAAGCATGTATAAGCAAAATGCCATTTATACATGTACTGGAGCAGTGCTCGGCTCTGAGAAGGGACTGAGGAAATACTACAGCAGATGATCCTTGAGGCATTGTGGTCA